TAAAATCAAAGAAGTATCTATGAAGCTTCTAAAAAGCTTGTATAGAAGATATTATGGAATTAATCTACTTTAATCTACTTTTATCTAATCATATAGGTAATTATTGATTTATATGTGTATGATTGTGACAATCATCTATAATGAATTATTTTTTATTTTATTTTTTTATCATAAATTTCTTAAATTAAATTCAAAATAATTTAATCAATATAATAAGTTTATCTTCAAGCATCTAAATCTTGTATATAAAACTTTACATCTTTTTGATAAATAACTTCTTATTGCAAAAAATAATAAAGTATTTTTATTCTTTGTATTTTTTTTTTCTTTTTTTAAATATTACAACTAATACATCATTATACAAATTCTTATTTGAAAGAAAATCTTTTTTCTTTTTCTCTTTTTTCTTTTTCTCTTTTTTCTTTAAACCTATCAAGTTTATTATTTTTTTTTGTCGTTTTTAATTAATTTTTTAATTAAATTTGACTAAACCATAAGTATAAAAGCATACTTAGGATATATTAAATTAAAAATATTAGTGAATTTAACATATTATATTATCTTTGTGATATGTTATTATGTGATTATTTAGAAATAAATATAAATTTAAAATTAATTTTTGTGTTATTATATAAAAAAATATTTTTTTCCTATTAAAGAATTTTTTTATTTTAATTTTTTTTTGTTTTAATTATGGCTTATAGATTATAAAGCTTATACATTTTATTATTAAAAAGAAGGCTAGCAACAAAAAACTACATTAAAATTAATATTGGTTCTAAAAATATCATTATATTTATTATGAAAAAAATTATTTCAAAAAAAAATATCTAAAAAAAATTAATAAAAATTGTGTTTATAATATTTTTTTAGAACCTTGAAAAAAATATTTAAAATATATATATATATATATATATATAAAATATATATATTATTAATTGATAATTATATAGAAGTTTATTAAAATATATGTTGTCATATTACATAAATTATAATTTAAAAAGTGCACTAAGCATTTGGTTGTAAAAAAAACCTTTCTTTTAGATTATAATTATCTTATAGAAATTAATATGTTGACAAGGGTTTTTAAAAAATTGACCAAGTTTTGGTAACTAGTTCCATCTCTTTTCTTTCTTATCTCAAAATGAGTTGTAGATCTCCTTCCTTCTTCCTTGTCTTAGCATGGATTTTAGACTTCTTCTCCAACAACTCAATCCCACTACTAGAAGAAGGAAGATGGAGAGGGGGTTTGAGACCTTGTCCATGATAGAAAGATAAGAGAGGGGATTAGTTACCAAAACTTGGTCAATTCTGTAAAAACTTCGATTAATGTATGAAATCTCTTATCTTATATGTATAAAAATAAAGTACTTAAAAATACCTTTCTTCAAAAAAATCAATCTTCTTAACCATATATGACTATATCAAGTTTTAAATTCAAAATCTTATTAAACACTATTCTCCAAATTTTTAAACACGATGTTCATCTAAGTAGTACTTTAAAATAGTGATGTTAAAAGATATTCCATATTTAATTTTTTGATTTTTTCTTAATAAAATTTTAAATAATGTTATAAATCTAATAAGATCGTTGATATTAATATTTAACCTAGATATTAAAGATATTTATAACATAGTTAAAATCTGATAATATAAATAATATATTGATCTAAAACATGAATATATATATATATATATAATTTGGCTATTACTTGTAAGAATAATTCATATCTAAATTACACATTATAAAAAAATAAAAATAAAATAAAATAAAAACTTAAGTTCTTATTTATTATTTAATATTTAATGAATAAATAAATAAAAAATCAAAACAAAGTACAATCTAATATTTTGTCGTTGTAAACAGTAAAATTAGATACTTTTCAACCAATAAATTGTATCACACAATTTTTTTGATGTGCCATCCTTTCAATTTTTTTAACTTAGCTACTTTACAGAATTAACTTGTTATCATCAAATTAGAATGACAACAATAAAATAAAATAAAATAAAAATGGGTAAGAATAATTGCACTAGGTGCCATGTATAAATGATTTGAAACCTTAAATTTAAGTAAATATGTATCTCTATACTAATATTTGGAAGCAGTTATACAAAGATTTTAGAAATAAGACATCTTTTATATAACACACCATTGATTTGAAGCTCTCATGAACATATTAACATATTAAAAGAATTGTTTCAAATCTTTTAAGACTTGTATAAATTAGAACTATTAGATTGCTAACAAGAGTAATAAGTAAATAAATAAAAATACTTAGGACCTGGTTGTCATTATTTTGACATATAAGTAGGTATTTTAATTTCTTAAAATTAACTTACTACAATTAACCATATCATTACAAATAATGTACAAAATAGATGATGTTATATACATAAAAAAACAACAAAAAGCAATAGACGCATGTAGATGTCTAGCCCATTTTTACTGTAATACTGAAATTTATGAGTGGAGTTCAAAAAAATAATTAAAATATTTATATTTTCTTTTATTTCTCATAAATTAAATATATATTTTTTGACAAAAACTATATACTAGTTTTATTTTTTAAGATTCTTTTTTTCTTAAATAATCTTTGTACAAGTTTTTTGTATTTGTATCAGTCTTTTTTATAATTAAGAATATAGGTTTGGACTAGAAGCTGGAATGGAAAAAATCAAAAGATCTTTTTGTACAAAGTATATGGATTTTATTAAAAACAAATTGTGTGAAATGGAATAGGCGTTTGTTACTATTTTTATATATATATATATATATAAATAAATAATATATATTAAAAATAATAATTTTATTTAAAATAAAATAAATAAAAAATATTTTCAGAAACAAAAAATCAAGATTGTTAGTTAGAATAAAATGAAATAACTTCATTGCATTATCTCATGGTCTCACAAATACCATAAATGCTATCTTTACAATATTATTTTTGAAGACTCTTATCATACTTTATATATATGATTGATTTCTTTTGCAATGTTTTGATACTTCTAAAAATAAACATGGAACCAAGAATACATGTATTGTATAATTATTTTATTGTTTAAACCAGACATTATGAATGTGAGTCTAGTACAACTTTCAAAGAACATATTTGAGAAAATATCAATATAAACTGTGGATTGATACACACAAATGATTTTATTAAATTTCAAATTTTCGTATATGTATATATCATCCTTGTGCACATTCCAACAAAAGCATCGAGTTTTTATTTGATATAATCATAAAATCATTCATATTTTTAATCAAATCAAAATCTCATACACATGAATTTTTCATTTTAGTTGTTGGTAATTGATCATCAAGTTTGAAACAAATGAAATAATGATGATTACCATTGTTGTTGTAGAAAGGAAATATAGTAGGAACATGCTTAAAAATGTCAGAACATGCCATTATTAGAAGAACTAAGACACAAACTTCATTTTGGCAACTGGCAATAATAATAGAATCCCTTAATAAAAATTACCAACTTCCTTGTATGTTTATCGTGCAATTCTGATGCAGTGAATGTTTGAGCCCAAAAAAAGAAAGATGAAACAAGAATATATATATATATATATATCGAGAGAGAGATATATTTGAAAAGATTTTTGTGTTGGTTTCAAAACTGCACTCTACATGACTATGTTAGAATCATTAATGATGTGGAAACTAATTGCATCTTGTGAAGTAACATAATTTTCTTTAGCTATTTATTTACTTATTTAATTAACTTATTTACTTATCTTTTGTGTATTATGTCTACAATTTCCTTCAATTGATGTCTTTGGTTTGCAAGTGGAGTATCAAATTTGAGAATTGGATTTTAAAAAATGGTATTTTTTAATACTCAAGGCAAAAAGAAAATAAAAAAGAAGGTATGCATAAACAACCCAAAATTGAGGATTGCAAAAATATTGAAAAAGAAGAAGAAGAAATAATTTAACCTATAGAGCAACTATGTTCATTGCAATTATATTATGGTTTTTTTTCTTAAAATATTTTTCAATGTGTTTATTTGAAACTCCTACATGTCAAGAATTTAAATAAAATAAAATAACGGCTTATTTTATTTTCAATAAAACTTATAAAAAACTGTCAAATTTATAAGAAATAATCTTGTATATATTCTGCTTTAATTATTTTATTACTTTACACTACATTCTTATGACATTACTATGCATATGTAGTGTTTTTTTGGGGGATCTTTATTAAAATTTTAGAATGTAGTCATAAATTCTATACATAGATTAAACATAACTGTTGAAAATTAATAGCTGCTTGCTGTAAAACCCAAGTGACTGTTAACTTCTATAGATTTAAAAAGAAAAAAAATAAGAAGAAGGAAACTAATAAGTAGTCATAATAAAAGTAAGACTATTTATTACTACAAATACTTTAAAATTTCACTCTTAAAATTTTATATTTAAAAATTTAATACCAATTTTTTTTCCATGGACAACAACAAGTAAAAAGAAAAAAAAAGGGGGGGGGGAAGGAAAAATATTTCATTGTGTTTATTGGTTTGGAAAAATTGTATACATTCTATGTAAAAAAAATTGAATATTTCAAAAAATTATTCATAAACACTTCATGTATATATATCATAGAAAACTCCAAATCCCTCAACTTATCTACGCCTAAAACAAACCCAAAGTTTAAAGTATTACTATGAATAGGCAAAAGAAGACGCAAAAGATGTACAGTTGTGTGCAAAAGAAATACACAAAATAGAAAAAAGTAAGTATACAAAAAGTTGGTAAAATGGAACAAAAGGGAAGGTCAATCAACTGGGCTCTTCGATTTCTTTTTCTTTCCTCTTTTTCCTTTCTATTTTACGTCATTCGAAATAGCCAGCAACGTTCACTGGAGGATGAACGAACGAAATAACGAACTCATTCATCCTGAACGGTCACTGCTTTCCCGCGTGAACCTCGAACTGCGAGGTTGATCCTACCTGGGTTTCCCGCCACGTTTAAGTGAAGCAAGAATGTTCCCGCGCTGTGTAGGCCTTGACCTTACTCTCCTCTCTCCGGCTTCTCCATTTCGCCCTCTACGCTCTTCGCCCCATCTGGTGTTCTAGTGATCTAGGTGCTCCATCACACTGCCTCCACTGTATCAGTTTGTAATCCATAGTGTTGCTCTACATCGCCTTCCCGAGCATCTGGTGTGTACAATTACCTTTTGTAGATCTTGTTGTTCATATGAATGTTGGGTGTTTGGGTTCTCCATATTTTCTCTGTTGTCTCTGCATAGTTCGGTGACGATATCGATGCTTCTGTCTGTTGAATCGGGTTTTGGGTTTGCTTGTTTACAGTTGATTTACGAGGTTTTTTGAGTTCCTTGAACTCTGTCTTAAGGTTGCATGCTCTGTGGTTTCCTAGCCGAAGAGTGACTGTGCGTGCAGTTGGAGCTGGAGTTCGGTTACTGGGGTGTGATACGGCTGTTGTAGCTATGACGTCCGTGTCGCTCAAAAGCGTTGAGACGATGTCGACAGTGAAAATCTTGGAGGGGCAAGGTGCCAAGTAAGAAAATTGTCTCTCATCCTTTGAAAATCCATCTAAGCGGTAGAGTGCTCATCGCTTGTGTCACTGCGGTGTTCGAAAGTGTTGATCTTATTGTGGATTGCGTGTTTGTGTTCAGTCAATGTTGGGTTTTAATTGCGGCATCTGTTGTTTTGTCATTGCAGCATGACTCCAACCAAGATGGGTCTGTCGAAGAGAGTGTACCCTATTCTTTCACTCAACCCGTACCAAGGGAATTGGACAATTAAAGTGAGGGTCACGAGCAAGAGCCCTCTCAGGACTTTCAAGAACGCACGTGGAGATGGGAATGTCTTCAACGTTGAGCTCACCGATGAAGATGTACGTTCTCGTCCTGTGTTTCCCCTCTTCACTCAGGGGAGAAGGTTTAAGCACAATATTGTTCGAATGGTTGAATTTACCTAACGTTGTCGAATTCCTCTTGTTGGCAGGGTACACAAATTCAAGCCACAATGTTTAAGGAGGCTGCTGACAAATTCTATGACGTTCTGCAACTGGACAAGGTCTTTAGTCTAACCAGAACCTCATCGTCAAGGTCGTTTTGATTCGTAGAATCCCGCCGTATATCCTGTCAGATGATGATGTGCAGCCATCTTAACGGATTCCTTACATTTAGCTTCCTGGATGACAGGTATATTTCATCTCCAAAGGCAGCTTGCGTATGGCGAATAAACAATACGCTACCGTAAAAAACGACTATGAAATGACGCTCAACAGCAATTCTGAAATTGTAGAGGCGGATATTGAGAGTTCTACCTTCAAATTGCCTTCTGCAACATACAACTTCACTAAGATTTCTGACCTTGGTCGGCACATAAGTTCCAAGAGGTTTGTCGGTGCGTGCAACACTCAACCTGAATCGAACATTGAAGAGCGTTCATTTAAAATTATCTTCGATTTGGATTGTCGTATTGGTCCAGTTCCATTGTCTACTCTCAGAGTGGACTTCCGCTGTAGCCCCTGCACTTCTGCTTAACGATTTCTGTGTTGAAGCAGACGTTTTGGGAGTCGTCCAGAGTGTGGGGCCTTTAACGACGGTGAATCGTAAATCCAACAACGATGAAATTCCTAAGCGAGACATCGTGCTCTTGGACCAAAGGTGTGTGGATTAGATCGTTCAGAAACACTGTGCTTTCAATGCCCTTCGCAACATTCCCTTGAGGACTGCGGTCCTCCAGCTTTTCGGTAACATCGATAACATGGTACTGCGGAATTTGTGTTGTTTGCAGTCGCCAAACAGTAGTTTTGACGCTTTGGAACAACATGGCCGTGAAGGAAGGGGCGTCTTTGGCAGACCTGATCGCTGAATCCCCTATTCTCATGGCTAAAGGGCTTCGTCTGAGCGACTTCCAAGGTTAGTGATAAACTCTGTCTTTATATTCCAGGAATTGCAGCTGGTTCATTAGTCCTTAATCTTCATCAATCTGATAATATGTTTGTCGCTGCAGGTGTATCTCTTTCATCCACCATGAATACCATGGTTCTCATCAATCCAGTCATACCAGATGCAAACGAACTCCGCACTTGGTTCGTCCTTCCACACAGTCTCATAAAATAGTTCCGGCTGAGTATGTTCTTCAATGCCTTGTGTCGTCGAACATAAATGATGTCAGCGCATCGTATCCTGCTTCCTTCTGTACTTGAAGGAAGTTTGTCCTGCCGGTTGTATCTGCTGAGATTTTGATACCACGGAGTGCCAGGTATGAGGAGGATGGACGGACTGCTTCCTTGACTCCTGCTGGGGCCAGCCTCCCAGGGGGTACGAACCAGAATCGGTCCTCATTTACAGACCGAGCCGTGCTTTCCGATATCATTCAACCTAATGTTGGTGAAGGCAAGGTGAGAATTTTCAGAAGGGTTCTTAAGACCGAGTTCCAGTGGAAATTTGTGCTGCTCGACTAACTCAGATGTTCACCAGATATTCAAGTGTTATTCAAATTTCTGATTTAAATGTGCAGCCGATGTACTTCAATGTGAGAGCGTACATCAGCTTCATCAAGCCAGACCAAGCTATGTGGTACTTAGCTTGCCAAACTTGTAATCGCAAGGTGGTGGAGCAGAGCAGTTCAAGTTACTGGTGTGAGGGATGTCAGAATCATTATGATAAATGCAGCCGCAGGTATATCATGCAAGCCAAGCTATCGGACTCTTCAGGAGAGGCCTGGGTTTCTGCATTCAATGAGCAGGCAGAATCACTCCTAGGTGTTAGTGCAGACAATCTCTCCGAGATGAGGAATCAGGTAATTACTTTCTGATGGTGTAGTTGATGCAGACATACATATTAGCTTTGTGCTGATTACTCCTGTAAACGTGAACTCGGAAGACTCATACTTCTCCCTCTTGAGCAGGCCGGCGATGATAACCAATATCAGAATGCCGTAAGGAAGGCAATGTGGCAACCGTGTGTATACCGCATCAGTGCTGCCCAGACGGAGTACATGAGCGAAAAGCGACAGCGACTCACTGTACGCACAGTAGTGCCAGTCGACTGGGTTGCTGAAAGCAAGCACCTTCTGGCGAAAATAACGAAAGGTTGATCACTTGATAGGAAACCAGTGTTGCATGTCCGACGAACAGACAGCTACAAGCGGTGACTCTACTTTTGGTATAAGATGGAGTACGTCACGCCCCTTCTTAAATGCCCTACTCTACTCCGCCGCCTTCAGATTGAAACAATATCTGGTGGATAAGAGCGACTTGCAGTCAGTGCTACAGAAGAAGAAAGTTATCCAATTTGCAGGCGATCATACTGTAGCCTTCCCTACCGGCTTCAATTACCTCGATAGTTCGAAATATAAATGCGCCAATAGACCACTGTAAATATTTAAGATTGTTTACTCTTGTCTCCATAGCCGGGCGATCCAAGGATATCCCGAGCGTTCTAATTTGAAGTAAATCCATCCATGTGCTGTTGAAATATGCACATACTTATGGACAAATCTCATCCTCCATCTTCGCCACATATTTCTGTCATAGCGTCGTGATCCACACCCCAAATTTCTCATTTGGAGCCTTGTCCCACCGACACTTCGGCTGTAGCCTATTACTTGTCCGCGCACATGTGTAATGGCAAACTGTTCCTTTGTCCATAACTGCCATCATAACCTGTCAGAACGATAAGTGTTTGAAAACCGTACTCGGCACGTTTCCCGAGCTGGATGTGTCACAGATTCCGTAATCCAGTGCGTGGGTCCCGAAACCAGTGATAAGCTCCTAGTTTGGAAAGATTGAGCGTATTAGGCACGACTTTTGCACGTTTTGACTTTTGATTAGACCAATTTTGGACAATCTACTCCTCTTGATCCAGTGCTTGGTTGGTTCGTTTAATGATAATCGGTAACCTTCTGCGATTGACCTGTCACCAGATGGGAAAATTAGATTGCTGCCTGCCTGAAACTTGACTTTCGGCTTGTTGCTGCCCGCAGTGCCGAGATAAACTCCACGGGTAGTCAAGTGATAAGCGCCGATATTCAGGTTGTGGAGTCAGCGAGAGATTGATGAATTTTACTTCAGGTTGAGTCTCTTGGCGCACTTCAAGGGCCTTGGTGTCATGAAACAGCAGCATCATCATGTGACCTTGTGTTAATCTTGTGATCTTCCTTCACCAGCCCTATTTTGAAGTCCAGCCGTTTGTTTGTAGCTGGATTCTATGATAGATGTAGAAAGCGTGATTCCTCATTCCATGATTTCTCAAGTAATGTTTTGACAAAACGTCAATCGTATTTGTAGTCATATTGTTGTGTATTAAAATGTTGCAACGACAATTGGTAAATTGTCCCTTCAAAATCATGTGAGAAAAAGCTCTCAGGTATATTTAGAAGCGGGTCATATTGTTGGTTTTAGTACACTAGAGGATAAGAGATCCACTTCTTATCCACGATCATTTACGAAATATTTTAAATACTTTCGTACGACTCTTCTTAAAATTGTTTGCGGTCATACTGGCTATAATTCAATTCATGTTTTAATGAGTGGGAAAATCGCACTTAACAGTTCCAGTACCGCCCGAAGTGGAAGCAGGAAATTGGGTGACTGCAGCTGCGTGGACAATGATGAAACTCCTTTGGCTCATCGTGAACAGTGCAAAACTCCACCAGTTGAGCACATGTGAGTGACAACGTGGTTTGCAAACATTAGCATGACAAAATGGATGTTCTGAGGATGGCCGGAATTATTATAAATAGTCCAAAGTCGACATGTAGTGTTGGAAAGAGTAGCACAAAGTTTCAAAGGTTAGATATGGGTGCTTTTATGCATAATCTGTGCTAGTTTTACTCTGTGGGTGAGGGTTGTCGAGTGTTCGAGTTGTGAGGACGGTGATGTCTGGAGCAGTCAAACATGTGGATTTTGATGAAGGCTCATAAAGAAATAGTGATAACATTTGTGCTCCACCACTAATCGATTTATTTTGATAGAGGAAGGTAAGGAAGAGGAGCGAATTCGTCAATGTCCAGAGAGTGTCTATGAGTTGCTTCCTTGCGAACGATACATCGAGGTGCTGCGCGGTTGAGGATCCGACCTGACTCGAAAGCAGTATGGTGCCACTAGGTTGGGTCTTGAAAGGCAAATGCAGGTTTCGCCGATCATCACATGAGTTCTCGCATCTTTCCAGTCGAGTCGTTGTCGAGAAACGGTATGTCAAGCAAGCGGGCATGAAACTCACGCAGTGAGTGATAAACCTCATATGTGCGTCACGTCAACCGAATCGATTTGGGTGATATCGCCATCCCCTAGCTTCTTTCCAAAAAATCCGATCGTAGCCTAGGTTTGCAGAGTGATTGGGAATTAGGCTTCACATCACCCTGATTGCTTGATTTTACTCATTGCCTCACAGTCAGGGCCAACTTATGCGGATAGAATGGAGACTATCGGTGCATATAGAAGTGATCTAGATTCTAACTTGAACTCCTTTTCGAAAGCAACGAACACCTCACTAGCTGCGCAACACAACAACACGCAGGGTTCCATGGTGCCGAAAGGCAAGTTTAATCCCCTATTGGCAGTAGTGATTACGTCCTTGGTCCTTGCCTTCTTCCTCTTGGGCTTGATCTCTGGACGACTCAGGCGGTGGGTTTGGCGGTTCGAGACAGAGGGTGGAGCAGTTATCAGGTCTTCAGATACTCGAACACGAACGCCAAAAGCACTCCACTATGGACTTGACCGGCAGGTCGTTGAAGCTCTGCCTTTGGTACAGTACAGAGATCTGCCTGCGGATGAGCAGGTGGAGAAGTATATCGATTGCTCAGTGTGCCTGGTCGCATTCGACGCCACAGATACCCTCAGGTTGCTGCCCATTTGCTCCCACGCGTTCCACTCGAATTGCATCGATGAATGGTTCCTCTCACACATCACTTGCCCGCTCTGTCGCGTATGCTTGGCACATTCAACTGATCATGCAGCTACTGAAGCAGTTGGACAACTCCCCCCACATGATGATCGAATTCGTTCACCGGAAGACTCTGACGTCGTGGAGGTGGTTATAGGCGGGGATGGGGAGCTTGACAGCACCACCAACACTACCATTTTGGAAACTTCTCAAGGTAAATCATGTTTCAGATTGACAGCACCACCAACACTACCATTTTGGAAACTTCTCAAGGTAAATCATGTTTCAGACTATCACCAGGACAATATCTGCGAGCGTCTCTTCTCGGTTGAAACTGTAGGGTTTGTCGTACAAATGCTTTCGGGCTGGGTTTTTACACAAAACCATGATCTCAGTAGAGAAACTTGACTTCATGGGAGTGGGTTCAGTGGGTGAGTTTAATTTTTGCCAAACCATTTTGCAGTACTTGGTGAACGAAGTTAGTGGTGGAAGGCGATTGGCAATTCTTTGTCCTGCTACTGAAGTGTTCTAAGTCGGTTATCTTTTCTTTTCATAGTCAATAAGCATCCTTTTTCCATGGAAACGTGACACTCTAATACGAAATTCTAACCTCTCCGTTGGTTTCACTCCTTCGCATTTGCAGCGGATGTTCTACCTCCTGGTACACCTATTGCGAATACATTCGCAACAGAGGAGCATGGCAACGGGCGCTCAATACCCTGGAACAACACAGCTTTGTCTTTCAAACCTCCCGTGCAGATTGATATTCCCCCTGCGAAAGTCCCATTAACTTCAATCCGCCGCACGAGCTCTGCAGGTTCTGGCCCCGAGCTGGCAAACGAGGCGAACGATGATGGGGACGACTCCCCACACAACAGCAGTACACAGTTTCACGCAATAGACATCGAGTACTGCATTTCGAACGGACAAAATCCGGTCCAAACTCAGGCAGATGGATCACGGTTCGTGAGACTGCCAGACCACTGGACCATAGAAGATCCGGAAGGGGGAGCGTCGAGATCGGCTGGCAAAGCGAAGGCCACTGGAGCTGGAGGCGACCTGCAACGAGCCTGGCCGACGACGAGGTGGAGTTTCCCAAATCTAAGGCAAATTGCCCCGATTTGAAGCTGCTCCAAAAACAGCTGATGCTTCGTTTTTGGCTCGATTTTGGTTTTTTCAAAGAGGGAGATTGGGGAGTTGGGCTCCCCAAGCTCTAGTTCCTGTTGCGTGTTTATCAGAACTGCCCCTTTTTTGCACTGTAAATATCACTCACTGGAAATATTAGTTATTAATTTCATGAATGTTCTCTGTTGCATCACCTCTCTCTCACACACACACACACACACAATCTCTTACTCGGACCTACTTCGCATCATTCCAGTTTTCGCAATTGTTGGCTTCGTTACTGTGCCCGAGGACAATGGCGAGAAGAGGGAGGACACGTCATCCCTGAAACTAGATACTTATATGAATGTGTGGATGAATTTACGTTTTCGATTTCCACCAATGAGCAACGGCTTGACCATTGTCGCTGTCTAAAATATTAAATACTAAGTTGAACAGAATGGAAGGCACAAGATGCAGAAAATAAATAAATAAATAAATATATATATATATATATATATTAGAGAATGTTTAATAGATCCATGTTCTTATTAAATAGACCCACCTTTGATGAAGAATATGATAATCATGGTGAATGTGGTTGGTTTTTATTGGTTGCAGATTTAATAGTGGAGAAATAAATTTAGAAGTCATTTTTTTTCTTTTCATGATGATTAAAATGGGTGGGTCAGTTTAGTAAAACTTGAGTCTATTTAACATTCCGCCATATATATATATATATATATATATATATTTGTACACAAATACACACATAGTATTTTGTATCTATTTTTTTTATAATACTCATATTTTTAGATTATTATCTAATTATGTATGTAGATATATAGATTTAATATAAATATATACATATATATATATATATATATATATATATATATATGTATTTATGTATATATTTAGTCTTTTTACTAAAAAAATCAAGTGATTGTAATGGGATAGACAAAGAATAGAGATTTAAGCACATCAAAGAATTTTACTTCTATATATGATATTTTATAAAAAACACAAATTTTTTAGTTTAAAAGATATGATTAAATAAGAATAAAAACTTGATAAAATGTTATGTACTAATATATATCATTCATATGATGATAGACATTAGAGAATAATTACAAAACATGAAGTAATGCATAATACACATTCTAATAGTTTTTGTTTAATACAAAATCAACCGAAGTTGCAAGTGATTTTAATTTTGCATAATAAGAATTAAGATTCAAAAGTATGCATTAACAGGTATCAAAATTAAGAATTAAATTTTGTTACATTTTGATACTTGTTAATGCATAGTTTTGAATTGTTTGCATATAGTCTTATGATAGTCTACATTTAAAAATTTTAATTCTTTGCATATACAGTATTATAATATAGGCAATATACTATTTTAATCAAAAAGTAAAAAGAAAAAGAAAAAGAAAAAGAAAGTATATAGTCAAAATCAATGCATACTTTGGGATGATGTATTTTTTATTTTATTTTATTTTATTTTATTGATGAATAAAATTTATGTTGTTTTTCATTTCTATTTTAATTTATATGTGAACTGAAAAAAAAACACATACATATTGCACACATATAAAAAAGCATTTATCATTAATAATACATTCTAGTTAAATGGTAACAAGATATTTGATAAATAACACATATTTTTATTTTTTTATTTTTTATTATATTGCATTTAGTCATTAGTAAATGATTTAAGTCTTAACTATACTTGCCATTATATATATGTGTGTATATATATATATATATATATATATATTACTATGTTTATAAGATTTCTTACTATTACTATTTACTAATAATTATGTGCAAAAATATATTATTTATTAGTATATTTAAAAGTTTAAATTACTACTTTCTTATTATTTTTAATTCCAATTTTAATTTTACATGTTAGATTATAATGGTTTTTGAACATCACAAAGTAGTATACCTGCAAAGATACATACATGTCATTTCTAATATGATCATTGTAAATCATCACAAATTTCAATACTCATACTTTTTTGTAATAAAAAATGTTGTTTCCTGATATAACCATTAAAATTATATTAGGTATGTTTGTATAATCAATACCACTATCATCACTATGAATATAAAATTCACACAAGGGATTATTAATAATTCTATCTCCAAAATATTGCACTGTAGTTCTTAACTCTTAAAGTAAACCTTTGTTATTCCGATTCTTGTTGTGTTTTCCAAATGTAAAATTCTTTTTATTTTTTGTTTTCATTTTTTTGATATTTAAAAAAAATTATTCAAATGTTTCTAATGTGTAATTGGAGAACAAAACAATAAATGTGGACTATTCTTGGTAAGTATAATATCCAGAATAAAAAACAATAAACAAACCGAATGAAACTCAGATGTCAAATGATGATCATATATGCGTAAACTTCATTATAAAAGGTCTACAAAGTTAACCCTCCCCTCCTTTCTTTTTCTCAAATGTTACTTTCAATTACACTCACCAAGCATAATCCATTTTTTTGTTAATTTGTTATTTTATATATCAATCACAAAAGTCACTTTGACTTGCAAATAACCAAGAAATTACCCCTATTACGTAGACTTATGTTGTAACTTCTGCTCCCTTCATAGATGCACAAAACAGGCTATTTCTCACTTCACCACTATTTTTCTTCAATTTAAGTATTCATCTAAGGTAGAATAGTGAACATTTCTGGCAATATATTTTGGTCAATAGACTCTGGGTACTAGAACCAGTTACGTGATGGTCTTGCATTTAGTCCTGCAATTATTTATTTTTCAACTCTCTTTGGCAACTCTTCTGCAAAACTTCTGTGAAATAAGCTCGTTTCCTGAAAATCTTCCGTCTACTGAGTATCTAGACACTGAATGTTATAGGGAGTATTCAAACTACCTGCATAAAATTTGAAAGGATACAGAAAACGACAGACGAAGTGAACGAACCAGTCAAATGAAAGCAGTGGGGGTGAGAACCAACGAACGCAGATGTTGAACAGTGACTATAGGTGCTTTAAGGCAACGACAAAGCCTTCCACATGTTACATAGTGTCAACGAATTCTATTTGGCTCACATACACGTCTATCCCTGTACCGTACGATCAAAAAGTAGAATGTACCACAGCACTAGAAGATGCTCACCAACTTCATCGTACCCAGAAAGCAACGCAAAACTGCAATGCCAAGGCAGTTCCCTGTTGTACAGCCCCTTTAAAATCAACGCTGAACTCGTTGAAAAGGAAAAACCAAGACCATGTTTTACAAGCAAACCTGCACAAGCTCTGTCTAGGATGGGTAGCAACAACTCTCCGATTCCATCTTCTCTTTTTCTATGGCAGGTACTTGGGTTGCTCTTCGAAACCATACATTGAAAGCATTCACAAGGTGGGGACAGTCTTCCAAGTTTCGGGTGGCAAAGCTCAGGCACTGCTGCAGGAGCCTCTGAGCATCGTCCATTGGAAGGGTGAGAATGATATTCAAAAACAAGTTCTCAAGCTCTTGATGGAGGTGCTTATTTTGATTAGCGGATGCTCCAGAAGTTGGCAGATGTTCCCGAGACACAACTAGTACGGGCAGCCATTCCTTGACCAGCTTCAGACGTACCTAACCAGAAGCATCAGAGTCACGGATCAGTTTATATGAGTTCATTTGTGCAGCAAAACGCCCTCTTACAAGTGAAGAGACGATACAAGCTGCAACACGACGATGAACTTAGACCACCGCATCACATATCAATAGGATAAAAATAGGAAGAAAAGAAAAGAACATTGGATGTATATAAAAGCTGCGTCCCTTGCAAGGATAAAATCTGTATTTGTTTTAGCAGTGGTATCATATCTAAAAAGTTCGTAATATTCACCTGTTGGGAAGCAATGATGGATCCACAAGCAACAGCGCTTGCCAAACGACAAGTGCAGCGGAGTACAAGAGCGGGGAGTCCAGGAGCAATGTTTCTCCAAGTATCATCACTAAACGCACGTTTCAAGTTCGCTGTAAATGCTCCTTGCTCACTCCATTCCACAACTGCAGTCTCTGCAACCCTCAGTTCTATCATTCGCTCAACGATCCAAAGCAAGTGCCGCCCGCTAACAACTGCAGTGTGAAGATTTTGTCTCTGTAGAGCTTCGATTTCATCATGGTGGCCTCTAACATTTGGACTTGCATACTCTTCGATGGAGTCCTTCACGGTATTTAAACTCTCAGAAAAAGCCTGGTCTAGGACCTGACGAACTGTATCCCTAGAGGCAAGTCCGCTCAAAAGCTGTCCTACAAAAGCCTTCACAGTAGCACCATTTTGATGCCTGTGTGTCGCTGCATATACCAGTCCATTGAACATGTCCACGACTGCCGTTTCCTTCACAGCGAGCAACAGAGTCAGCTTCAGAGAGGTGTTTACATTCAACTTCAGCGGTGACTTATGGTAAAGTTTGTATGCAAAAGCTCGCATGACCAAAAAATACTTCACTCACCTTCACAGGACTAAGCCTAGCTAGCAGCGCAGAAGACTTTTCGAGTTGAAGACACGACACAAGTTGCACAATTTGTCGTTCTTCTTCCCTCGTCCACGAAACTGCTTCCAGGAATCTCACGCAGGCAGAGATACATTGGTCGTATAACAATTCTGCTGCTATGGGAAGGATACTCAAAGCACTTTCCACATTCTGTATGGTCCCCACGAAGTCTTGTGTGTATAGAAGCTGTAGGGTTGCTATGTACGAGGTTAACTGACGTCCTTGAGCCACACAGAGATTGATATGGATGGGAATTGTGTTTTCACTCTCTTCCTTTGTAGAGGACTGCACTTTGTCTTGCCATCTGTCTGATAAAAGCGCATCGAAGTAGCGACATTGCATTAAAGCTTGAGCATGAAGATTAACAACATGTTCCTCTCCTTGTTTTGTTTCTGCTGCAAGTTTTGAAGCGTCTCCAAGTTCATCATCATCAGATTTGACTAATTCCCGCAAAGAAGTTTCGTCTTTCCGCAAGTGTAGAATTACATCTGCCGTGCTCGCATCACCAAATATTAAGGTTCCCTACCAAGAGCATACCATCGAACCACATTCGATAAGAAATTTGAAGAGAATACTACATGATTCAGGTTTCAAAGCTGCCCATTATGGTGCTCTCAAAAACAGACGCAAACTCTAACTTTGTGACAAGGTCATCTCATCTAAACCAGAACATGTTATAGTGTAAGCTGATGCTAAGTTGCTGGTATGCAATAGTACACACTCCTCACTGCACGGAGTGTAAAGAGACGGAGATGTACAAAACAGTATAGCTCACCCTAACTGTCAAATCATCAACCTCTTCAGGTTTTGTGATAACAGCAATCATGTCCATAACATAGACAACTTCATACAGAACATCATCTTGGTAGCTGTAGTTACTGTTGGGTACATAAAACCTTCTGGCCAATGCAAGGCATCTCGGTTAGGTTATAACGGTCAGCATGTAAATTGATGATAATTTTTGCTCACACACGCTAGGTTATGAGTCTCAAACGGTTTGAAGAAACTGAAAATGCTGCCCACCTCTGTCGACAAGACCAATAAAAGCAAGAGGTAGTTCATCAGAAGCCTGTGGACCAAGCTTGACAAGGTGGCAATTAAAGGTTAACAAAAGCTTGGTTGGCCGAATCCTTAGCTTTGAAATAGAGAAAGTAGGAGCCCACAATGAAAAGTGTGTCCAGGTAAGAAAACGATAACGATTATTATGCATCCAACTAAGTACAATTCCTCTAATTGTAGAAATTCAATCCCTACATTTGCTTGAATTACACTTACCGAGTTGTTCACCTCGTCCATATCAGGTTTGGAGGACAAGGAAAACACAGAGGGGAGGCGAATGCAGCTCTCTACACGATGCCGTTTCTTGGATATGTGCATCGTCTCTGCATTTGAAGTCGATTCCAAGTTTTGGCTTTTTTCTTTCATCATCTTTGCACATGTAAGAGTACGACATCAGAAAATGAACTTAAAGGCATGAAAAAAAGGAATTTAAAATAAACAAATAAACAAATAAATCCATAAATAAAGTTTGTAAGAGGACTACAATTGCATCGCTAGGTGATTCTGGTCTGAAACTAGTGGTTAAGTCGGAGTTCTGACGTATTAAACAACACATGAATTTCTTCCACAGCAACTTCCGAACTTGCCCATGACTCAAAGAACATGGAAATTGTGGTTACCTCAAAGCAGGGCAAAAGATGTCCTCCCCCGCCAGTTTAGTTTCGTTCCACCAATAAAATCCAACATAAAACTCTTATCGCTGCTCAATCAGGTTCGCTCCAAAACAATCACCTTCTGGCCTCAAACCTACGCTTCATATATTGACCACAGAATACCATCTAAGGTTCGGTTTCTTGCACAGAAAAACATTAAATACAGCACCTAGTCGGTCTGTAGTGATCATAGGTATTATATAAGATTGTTGCGGAAATGAAGACAATTTTGGAATCGCGATTGCGATTCCGAAGAAAGCTAAGACCAAAATCTTCCTAATTGTCTCAAATTAAGAAATGTGTATCCAAAGCCTCTTACAAGCCCAATCCTACCCCGTGCATTAAGCAAGCCAGCCAATACTACGACATTTTATGTCTTTTCAGCTGCCCCTCCTATCCTTCACGAAAATAATTCGTTTCTAACATTTTTTCATAAATGGTTAACTGTTGAGTTAATCACTTTCGAACAAAATACAGTCCCAAGAATGAGCGACATTAATCAACATCTTACCCCAAGTTAACATCCTGAAAGCTTTAACCTAGCCACAGAATCCAACACAAGAAGATTACATGGCCATCGGGACCAGCAGAGACTGATATCCTCACTAAACCTCGATTCTCAATTCTCAATTCTTAATTATCAGAAACTCGTGATCAGCCTGCGCATCAAAAACCAAATCCCGCACTCAATTCTTCAATAACTACTCCAATCTTAACGAATTCCGAACACAAGAAAGTAAAGAAACAATCACAGAACCTACAAACCTCCCGTAGCAGCAACCGACACTCTACAGCAGCAAAGTATTGAAGCATGACAAAACCCAACTGCTCGTAATGTGGGGGTTCATTTGCTGCTTTCCATGCAAGCACAGTGCTCAATGTTAATCCTGAGGCAAACTAAACGTAAACGATGACAACGAACCAACACCCTGAAATGATTCAGTATAGCGATGTAAAGAGGAATGCTTTTCCAGGAAAGGATTTTGTTCAAAGATGAAGATGAAGATGATGAAGATGGTGAAGGCGCCTGGAACACTCGGGAAGCAAGACCCACGTGGCACATGTTCGTTGGCGACATGGGTTTTGTTTTTGCTGCAAGCATGGCGGATGAGAGCCCTGACTCCAGTTCAGATCAGATGGTGACTTTTCAACGTGTTGTCCACCCTAATTTAGAAGTGGGTATTGTTGACTTAAATCTGGAGGACGACACTTGTTCAGATTCTCCCTACCTCCTCGTCGCTTTCCTCCCATTTTTTCGTAGAATCTTGAACTGCTCAATCATCTCCCCTCAACCTCGAACTGTAGACTCCAACGATGGGTTTCCCACAAATTTGCTCTACTCTGTGGAAGGCTTCCTTGTTGCTGCTGTAGATGTGTACCTCGTTGCAGGTATGTGCCTTTTCTAGTTGCGCTTCGGTTGTTGGGTGGAGGTGGTGCTTGCTTTTGAAATATCATCCAAATTGAGAGCGTGTGAGGGAGGTAGAGTTCAAATGCTGAATCATGTTGAATAGCAGTTTCTTCAACTTGTGGCTGAAGAAAAAGATTATGGGTGGATGCTGGGATTCAATGTGACATTGAAAGCCAGCTTCAGCTCCTATTGTAGATTGCTAGGGTTTGGAGCGTAATGCAGTTATGGGAGCCAGGGTTGTAGTTGGATATGGTGGAGTGGGTAGGCTTAGCATCTGTGATCGTCAAAGCGCTCACTGCAAGTAAGTTTTTGGTGATTTTAGCCTGTGGCTTTCGAGGTTTTTACAGTGTGTGGCTGGTGGTGTGGGTCCTAATGTTTGTGTACTTGAAACCCTTGCAACCCTTGTGGCCACGGAGGTTGGAAGTCTTGATGGTTTGCACTCTATGTTTTTGAGCCTGCATCCTCCTGTTGCGATCCTGTCCATCTTCACTGCGTCTCTGGCCAGGAACACCTGTTGCGGTTTGTCATTTGTCTATCCGTATTGATTGTTATTCCATGATGATGCAGTTTTCTGTTACCACAAAATGGATCGTGAAGAACTTTTTTCGATTGGAAAAAGCTCTTATATGTGTATGGAGCATTATGTTGTTGGATAGTTGGAATTACTTCGCGGCGATTCACCGTCGCTGGAAGCTTTAGTGTTTCATTGTCGGATTGTTGACTTGTTTTCAAATTTTCATGCATTTGGAAGACCAGGTTCGTCAGGGTTTGGGATGTAATCTGGTCTGGGTACCGGTGATTACGTCTCGGCCATGGGCCTTGAGGATGGATCGCACGCAGCTTTACGGCCTTGCGGATGGGGTTCTGAATGGGTGTTCAAAAGCTTCTACTCAAGCATTTGGAAATCGTTGTATTAGACGAGTATTCGATTTGGACACATTCTACCCTGAAATGTGCGTTTAATTGGCCCACTTCATTTTCAAGCGACCTACATTTATCGCTGCTTGTTGTGTCGAATTGGTGGTGGATGTCTTTGTGGAGATAGTTCGAACAAGGAGACCTAAATCTGCAAGTCTCACACTCCAAATATGGGGAAAAGAAAACTAGACAGTGTATTGGATGGGGAGTCCGATGAGAGAGACAGAAGTCTGAAGACGCCTGAAGGGGGTGCCAGCGATGAAGAATTTGTTGTGGAGGTTAAGGTCGTTGGGGAGATTACGAAAAAAACAGGAGGAAAGTTAAAAGGTGATAAAGGAAGAAAAACGTATCAGGCCTTTGAAGTGGATGGCAACCGCTACGAAGTTGTAAGAGCTTTTACTTTAATTCCTGGTCCCCAATCAGTAACTTCAAGAGTATGCGGGCTTTTCGCAGCTGTGTATCTGTCGTGTTAGAATACTATCGTGCCATTAGTATGCTCAATCACGAACTGGCATGCCATCTGTGGCTCTACTGCGTATCATTGTTCCTCCATTGTTCTACAACGCTCTTAAGCCTGGTTGCAATTAGTCAAGTTAAGCATTTCTGAAGCCTGTGTTCTGAATGTTATGGCAGGATGATCCCGTACTTGTTACGCCTGAGAGACCCAGCCAAAAGCCTTATGTTGCTATCATTAAGGTGACTATGCTGAGGACTAATAATTTTTGTTGTCGTTCATCTCTTGGATGTAATATCAGTGAGCATGATCAGCACAAAAGGCCTGTAGCTCAGGGCTAAAGTTTGTACACGACATTTGCATAATGTAAGGGTCAATTATCTGTTTTATCCCTAGTATTTTTAATGGCAAAGAGAAAATAAATATGTTACATAGATGAGTCTTCTTCTCTTTGCGCAGAAAATTATGCAGGCGAAAGATGGAACGGTTCAAGTTGAAGGTCAGTGGTTCTACAGGCCTGAGGAGGCCGAAAAGAAAGGAGGGGGTACGTGGGCATCATCCGATTCAAGGGAGTTGTTCTACAGCTTCCACATTGATGAAGTACCAGCTGAGTCTGTCATGCACAAATGTCAAGTTCATTTCATACCTCCGAACAAGCAACTACCCCAACGACACAAACATCCAGGCTTCATTGTCCGTCGGGTTTATGATGCGTGTGAAAAAAAACTTTTTAATCTAACTGATAAAGACTATGAGGACCCCATGCAACTGGAGATTGATCTTCTTGTTCAGAAAACACGGGATGCTCTTGGGGATTTGCCTGACATAGACGGTTATGAGCATATGGCTCCCGCAGAGGAGAAGCCTGCTCTAGACTTGAAAATCAAGAGGAAGGTGCCTGAGAAGAGGACAGTTGCACCATTGAATCTAAAGAGTGAAGAGTTTAGTGTCAATGAACCAAAAATCCAAGGTGAGACTCCAAGTAACAAAGTTGACGCTGCGAGAGTCGAAACTCCTATCAGTGCTGTGGGCACTGACATGGAGGTTTCTACCTTATTGAAGATTCATGGTGTATCATTGAGTGTACATGCGCGAGACCGCTGGCTGGAGAAACTAATGCAGACCATACGAGATCTCTGTGGGGGTAGCAAAGGTTTTCATGTGAAGGGTGGAGGAGAAGATAGTACAATCAAAGATGATGGTGATCCAAGTAAAGGGCGTGGTGTAGCTGATGCCGAAGGGGGCAAGCAAGGTTTAGGAAAGCGTAAAAGCTTCTTGGTAAGCATTCTGGTTCATTACGCCGGAAAGTTTTTTTCACCTCTTTTGTTGAGAAAGTTTTGTCATTAAGAGAATCCAATTCAGAAGTTGGCTAAGTATGGGTAATACCCGCATGAACGACGAGAGTATAGAACGAAGTCATGAAATTTCCAGAAGGTTCTCAATGGAAGTACATGACTCTTTTCTTGCAATTTCCACTTGGTTAAAGGAGCACATTTCTCTCCATTTGGTAAGGTCGTTAGCTGTTCTTCTTGAACTAGCTTCTCCTAAAATTTCTCTGATATAGACTATTGTTGCACGCTCCTCAACCTATTGTTATTTTGATTTTTGGCAGGGAGAGGGTAGCCTTGCTTGGCCTGAGGTTGCCCCTGCAGCTGTTGAAGTAGTCAGTGCACTAGAGAGGCTGAGCTATGATTCCCTTGGCAACGATTTACACAAGTACAATCTCAAGATGCGTCAATTGGACTTCAACGTAAAGGTAATGTCCATTCATCCTTGCGACATACACCCTCACAATTCAGCACACAACCTTTTTGGGTGCAATCTGAATACTGGTTTTTGGACAGATTTTGTGGTTTTCTTGTGCTTCATTTACGGGGGCATGACTGCGTTCGCTGTCGTGATTAATGCAGAAAAACAAAGTTTTGGCGCGTCGTCTTCTCAACAAGGAATTAGAACCCGCTGAAGTCATAAACATGTCTCCTGCTGAATTGAAGGTTCGAATGGTTCCACAAAACATAAACAAACTTTATAAAAGCCTAAAGTTTTGCAGCAATTGATTAAGGAACCGGAAGCTGGTTTAGGCTCAAAGTAGATTTTGGGTTCAGAATCAAACGCTTTGCAATCGTGTTGCACAAGTCATTATTGGATTTAGCTCGCAATGTTGAGTACGTAATTCCTGCACCAATTGATTTTAATGTAGCTTGTACCTTGCAATACCTCGTCGTGGTGTCTTCGAAAGATTTGATTGATTGGTGGTAGAGATTAGTTTCTGAACATACAAGCTATTGTCTGCGGGGTACAGGATGGGTATATAGCAGCTGAGAGGGAAGATCAAGAACGTACTGAGCCAGAGACTATGCAGGTACTTAACCTACACTATGGGTGCTTTTGGCTTCGTATTCAGCTCTTTTTCAGTTGCGATCACTTTCGAGCTTTTTCTTGGGACACGTGGTTTCCTCCCATGTGCTCAGACGTGCGGTGTATCTGTAAGCAGATGGCAGATGTTAGGTGTTCGATATGCACCGAACGAGAAGTACGTGTCATTGACATTATCCATGTCGGGTTTGGTGACCGCTACCAGGTATGTTCGAAGATTAAATTTCTGCTTAATACCGCTTTTGAGTTGCGTGATTTTATGATCGTTAAGTCAAATATTAGAACACGTTGAATGTTAAAAGTCATGATTCTCTGCTTGCTTACCGTAACATAGGACGGAATGCTTGGTAATTACAGTAACTGATTTTTATGCTTCAATGAAATCAGATTTGTTTTGGTAAAAATGTGCAGCTGGAATGTTTGAAGTGTGGCACAACGTGGTACTCATCAAGGGATGCCATTTCCTCACTGGTAATTCAACCCACACCGGCTCCCCCAAATGTCGGTATAGCTCCACCGGCCACCTCCAAATTTGATGAAGTAGAAAAGGACATTCAAGCAGGCCTTGCCATAGACACTGACAATTCAGCGCCTTCAGCTACTAGCGTAGAAACCAAGACACCTACAGACACAAAAACCTCCACTGTCCCGTCTGCTACCAATCATTATACTCAAGTTATGAACGCTCTCCACGAACACTTGCCTATTGCAAACCCAATTGCTGAAGATCTTGTGAATACCAAACCTCAACAAGATGTGGGTATCGAGGAAGAACCCGCACTGGCAGCTAAAAATACCATAGAGACGAGTTCTGAAAACTTTAAGATGAAGTCATCACCTCCAGAGGTGGCTACCAGCCCTAGATGCGAGCTAGAGATTCCTCACGTGGACGGCGTACGTGAGAATTTTCTACCAGAAAAGATTCCCTACCTTTAGAATCTTCGGCTTAACTTTGAAGGGGCCTGGTTGAGCTGCTTTTATGAGGCTCATTTTGGAGGTTACCGATCTTGACACAGGAAGAGACAAGGTTGTATCATATTTGAGGCTAGATACATTACACTCGACTACATAGAATCGTATAGTAGATGGCTTACATGTTTAATTTTTTACTATTGGGAATTTTAACTGCATATTCCTGACTTCAGTTGCAATCTTTTCATGGTGTAAACTGCTGCGCTACAGGCTGCACTACAGCATATTGTAGAGGATTTTTTTTTTGTGGATACCTTGTGTGTGTCAAGCAATAAGACAATTGGCTTTTCCCAATCAATTCTCCTATTTGGTTTGGTTCTCGTTTATTAATGATCAATATAATTGTATGGGCTGGCTTTAATAAGCCTTAATGTGTATGATAACACGTACTTGGAATGGTGCTCAACATTTCATTTAAATTTTGGATGCATTTAATTTTATTATAAAGTACAATGATGGAAAAATTGGATGTAAGCTTGGGTGTACTTGTGTTTATAAATTTTCAAATTTCTTAAAATTTACTCTAGTTTTAACTGCATAGGTTTCTTAGTTGTACTATGGGCTATTAATAACCACTTCCTAAGATTTGTTTGAGTGATAATGTTTTGGTTCAGTTGTTGTCTTTTTATTTTTGATTCATATTTTTTACATGATTTGTTTGGTCATTAGTTTGTGCAAATTCTTCTAAGATTATGTATTTATTTAGTTAAATTTATAAATTCTAAAAATGAAAATTTTAAGCAGGAAAGACTAAAACTCTATAATGATGATTGTTATACATTTATTTATATATTTCCTTTCTATGATAAAAAATTCTTACAAGTATATTGGCTTTAAAATCGATTTGTGATTTTTGAATCTACTCATATTTTAGATTTTTATCACTTAAAATATGTAACTTCTAATTTTTTAATAAAATTTTGAGTTGCCCCAAATATTACATCAGAAGCTTCATTACAGCCATATATCGAATTTTATCTGATTTGATTTGTCTTTATTTATATATATATATATATATATATATATATATGTTAACATGGCAATTTGACATTTTGGATAATTCAGAGATCTCTGGTATTGCAACCAAAGAGTTGATATCCAACTAATTGACTTTTTTACATATAGCATTGGTGTAGAAAATTAGTTGGGAACTAATAATTATGTGACATTTGAAAAATGACTTTTTGTAAGTGGAAGAATCTTAAATGGCTTAAAGAAAATTAGAAAAAAAAAAATATGTACATAAAAACATAGATATTTCACAGATGTATGATTTACCTACATGCACTAGGAGACTTAAGGGGCACTAACAAATGTAAATGTATGATACATAAGATATTAATGGTTGATGTTTATGTTCAATGCTTTGTTATCTCATACCAAGTGTCATCAATACATCAAACATATTTCATTTGTGTTGAAAAAAACCGGAAGGAAAATAAGAAATGAAATTGCAACTGCACTTTCTTTCACCTCATCTAAGTACAGAAAAGTATTGGACAAACGGGAACTGGATGGTGATCGGTGCATAGCCTCATTCACCGCATTCATCTGCGTAGAATCCTGAAGATTTCTTTCAAATAGATCTATAAAGCCCGAGTGTATGAGCAGCCCCATTGAACTCCATCGCCACCATGTTCGGATTTCGCATCGCTTGGCAAGAACACTGCTTTTTCCACTTACGTATATCTTGCGCACCACAAGCTGCAGAAACCGCTGACAGTGCTGATTTGGGTTAGGGCATTACTGGACAATCAACTGCAAGAGTATTCCTTCGTGTCCTTTACCGATCTTTAGCATTGTCCGGAAGTTAAGAACCTTGACTAGACCTTGATTACACCAATTTGAAGCGACCGCCTAAGCAGGGAAGTTAGTTACGTAAAAGCGTTGATTACAAGCTGTTATGTGTGGACATTCAAGTGCATGACGGGCTGTCAAGGCCAGCGGAGCTTGATCCCACACTAGCTGTCCCATGCCTTGTTACTCGTACTAATATCCAGATGATTCTAGACCACAAGACGCGCATACATTAGTCTTCATTACACACTATGCCGCAATACTGTCAACAACTTCACACACTGTGTGCGTGTGTGTATATATATATATATATATATGGCCCTGCGCTCATCCCTGCAAGACTTCTCCCAACGCACCATCCTGACAAAATAGAATCTAGGCAGACAAATCAAGTTTGTTGTTCACAAAACACTCGCCTCGTTCTCTTCCGACTAGATTCAAGACAGATCCAAAATCCACAGGTTGCACATCCGGAGAGAAAAAGGAGTGCGTCTTGAACTCGCAAGCTACAACTTGGGTGGCTCCACAGAGATGGACTGGGCGCATCACGGACGAACTCCAAAACTTCCGCCAGTAACGCACTGACCGAAAAGAAAGGAGGAGCTTGCAATTCACAATGCACTCTCTTCAATTCTCTCCCCAACTCCTGATCCTCAATCGGGCAATGAAAACCACCGCTCCATCGATCAACCAAGTCATGACAGGCAGAGAAATGGAGAGAGTGTGTCATGAAATTGCAAGCTGGCCCGCCGCGCTTCTTCCTCCTCCTCCTCCTTTGCGTAAAAGCTCCGGCTCCACTCCCCACCTATACAAAGCGACGCGAACTGGATACACAATGTGACGATGCACAGACGCGAAGCTATATACCCGCGTGCCAGCAGCATCAGCAGCAGCCCGTAACCGATTCATGGAGGTTTCAATTGGCTGTCGCACGTTGCAGTAGGTAGGGAACACAAATAGCCAAATCCAGGCAGTCACGGCACTCTCACCCCGGACCTCGAGGACGTCCCGACCCCGCACCACCCGACCTACTACTTCTACTACTATATCGACCACTACTGCTTCTCTCTCTTTTTCCCCGTTTCCCTCTTTCCCCATTCCTTACCGGTGCTGCTGCTTTGATTGGCTTTCCTCCACCTCCTCCTCCTTTTCTCGTGGCTTCCAGAAGCAGCTCGCGAGCAACTCCCAAACGGGCTTCGGCGGGCATCATTCGTCCGCTGCCAACCCCACATCATCCCAGTTCCTTAGGCCCAGATAGATGATCCTTGTCCACCGTCTTGGCCCAACTACTACGAAACCGTGTTCTCCTCCCCCACACCCTCTACCCCAGTCCCGCCCCTCCCGCCCCTTCTCCTCCTCCTCCTCGGCCCCCCCTTGGGATTTGGCCCTTCGTCTTATTTATTCCTCTCTAAGTTACTTCTGGCCCCTCCCTCCCTCCCTCCCTCCCTTCCTTTCCCTTTGCCAGTCAGATTGATTGATTGATTGATTGATTATCCATCGATCTCCTGCCAGTCAAACTCTCTCCATTCCGCAGCTTGCTTCTCGGTCTTGCTTCCGGAAAAGTCTTGCCCACTAAATGGCACTCACTCATATATTTATAGAAGAAAAAAAAACACACGCCCACACTCTCTCAAACTCACACACGCGAGCTCCGTGCAATGAAAAACCAACACCCTCTCACATATGCACACACTGAGTACTTAGCATCTCTACCATTATTTCCTTCTTTATTTTGTGTCCGTCTTCCTTACACACACACACAATATAATATATGATTATATTTATATACACACACACACACAATATAATATATGATTATATTTATATATACACACACACACAATATAATATATGATTATATTTATATATACACACACACACACAATAAAAGATGGAAATTTTGTATCTCACAAATATGTCTTCATAAAATTACTTTTGTAAAATGACATTTATAATACACTGCATAGAATGTTATGTCAAGTCCCAATGGCTTCATTGTGTGCAGTATCACAACAATTATACATTTTTCAATGACTTATTATTAAAAAAAAACTGTAAGACAGGTTCCATATTATCTAACTGCAAATACATATAAAATTAGAACTCAAATTTGGAATTTCCTTAATTGATGCTTAGATAATAGATTCACATATGCTTGATTTAGTATAATTTTCTCTCATCAATATATTTTTTTCATATTTATATGAGTCAACATGAAAACCTCATGCCTTTTCAAGTTCCACTTGTGCACACAATTGTACAGTAGAATATAACCTGTCAATCATATTTTGATGCAATTTTAGTTTACTTTGTTAGCTTTAAAAATGATTTTTTTTAATGAAACCTAATACACAAGCCATTGGAATGCAACAGCTGCTCAATTGAAAAATTAGTTATAGTTCCAAGCTGATCAAAGCTTGCTACAAAGCAAAGTAAATAGTAGGCTACTTGCAAGAGTAGCACTCAGAATTGCATCTTGGGCTGACAATAATGCACATTAAACAATGCCCACAAATAGGATGGTCTTGTGATGGCAATAAAACAGTAAAACATAAAGAGACAGCTATTAAATATGATTCATTGCACATGAAAATGAACAAGATTTATTACACATTTTCTCATCTAGGTACATTGCACATGAAAATGGCCATGAGTTTTGTCATTTTCTAAAGTAAGTCAAACTAGTCCAAGTTTGAAGAGGTTGAAGGAGTTATATGTATTTGCATGTAAAATTTCCTTTTTTGATATCACCTTGCACTAAAGTTGTGATTTTGCAAGAATGAATTATTGTAATATTTGATGAAGAAATTTTCGGTTCTATTAGATGAAATTTATATGTCGATTTTTTTTAAAAAAAAAATACTACTTTGTGGAAAAAAATATACAAGCTTTACAACACAACTCAATGGAAACACAGATTAAGTTGTTACAAGGATATAAATGTTAAGGTGTTATGAGAAATTGCATTATATTTCAAAGACATAAAACCCATTGTACCAAATTAGGTCAAAAGCACAAAATCTTTACATTCTGTAGAACATGATTTGCAAGCTCCCAACTACAAGACTATGTAAAAACAACGGAATTATTGTTCATGTGCATCAATCTTCACCCAACTCTTGACTTCTAATCATGAGAATGGAACCTGAATTCCCAAACAAACACCATTAACAAAAAATACTCTAGAATGAGAAATAAAAATAAAATGAGGATATTATACTAAAATGTTATTTTTTAAAAAAGAAAATAATGTAAGAATATACAAAAAAATAATATGTTAGTACAAAATGCAGGTGAAGTTCCGTACGAGGAGGGGTCAGTGGGGACCTCAGAACGCGAAAGCTACCTTGCGGTGGGTCCAGAGGTACAGTTTGTACGTTCTAGACCATACGAAAAGTACAAATGGTACTCGATCCCCGTGTTTTTTGGAGTTAGATTTGGCCGTGTCGAGCCCAGCGTGGACTAGGCCATGGCTCAACGCATGGGGCGGTGCCACG